TTTTTTTTACGTCCCCTGCCCCCCCTTTTTCTCTTTTTCCCTTTCCCCCCCCGGGGGGGGGGGGGGGGGGGGGAATTTAAGAAACATAGAGAAAATATTTTTGCTGTATTTTAAAATAACAGGGCATCTTTATTCAGAAAAAAAATCTGTTCTTAAAATATGCTTGCTTAAAGCAATTGTTAAGTGGTTTTGTCCTACAGGCATCAGTCACCTACTATCCACGACAATGCCGTAAACATTTGTACCTAAAGTAACGCTTTTGACTGTTATTCTTCTCCATTGCATCCAAGGAGCCCATTCCTCTGTATTTCTTCAGACGCACTCCATCTGAAAAGAAATATTCTCCAGGAGCCTCAGTGGTTGCTGCGAGCAAAGACCCCATCATCACTGAAGAAAAAATCAAATTGGACAACACTTTGGACCAAAGTATTTGCAACTTTTGGCAAAGAACATTTTACTCAACAATGTCCACAATTAAACACTTATTTTGCAAGATGGGGACAATCATTATTTCCCCACTTAACCAAAGAAAGTGGTAAATATTTGGGACTCCTGCCCAATTTCTACCCGTAGACGCTCCCAGGGCAAGAGCTTTCACCACATGCCCTACTGTCTGAATGCCTCCATCTGCGATTACTGGTACTCCGAAACGTCGGGCATATTCTGCAACTTTATAAACAGATGTTCCTTGAGGTCGTCCACATGCCATCACTGAGGAAGAAATGAACAACATAAGACTGAAACAAGTAGGTGACATGTAAATGATGTAGATCTTTGGGAGTGTTTCACAAACTCAAAGCGTTTGTTTGTTTGTTTGTTTGTTTGGTCATATTTGAGTCATCAGCTTTATATTTTTACCTTCCTGGGTAATGCAGATAGAACCACAGCCCATCCCAACCCTCAACGCATCCACACCGGCATCTATGAGGTTTTTAGCCTGTGCGGCTGTCACCACTAGAGAGAGACAGAGGAACAGAGAACAGCTGAAAGATGAAGGAAACAAATGTGGTCAAAGTGATGTAATTCAGAAAGCACAATCACCATTTCCTCCAATCACTTGCAGATCGGGATACTTCTGTTTAATGTAGTTTATCATGTTGATCTGATAAACGGAGTTTCCTTGAGACGAGTCCTGCAATCAGAAGATGGATCCATAGAGATAGAACAGGCTATTTAATTTTACTACATGCTTTTGTCTTTTTATAGTTTTCTAGAAAACATGCAACATAAACAACAAAGCACTTTTATCCATCTTAACTTTATTAGTAATCAATTGAATTTCATTGATGCATCGTGTCCTGTTAAATGTGAATTTTAAAAAAACTCTCAGCTGCAGCTTTGCTGCACCCAAAGCGTCAATGAGCACAAAACATTATTTTAAATAAATCTATCTGTAACAAATAGAAATACATTAATTCAAACAAAAAACAGAGATATTGATAATACTTTTAATATTTAAGTCTAAATTGTAATTTCTCATTAGAAGTTTTCTGTTTTTTCTTGAAAAAAGTTTATCTTTAAAATACATGATGTCATTACTCACAAGATAATTATTATTTCTTTAAATACCACTTCCAGTATAATTGTAAAGTTTTGTGATATTCAAAAGAAATATATTTTTCTATATATTAGTTTCTGAAAATTACAGAATTGAGATTTTCTGAACTATTTCATAATTAGTTTTTGACAAATTTGTCACAAAAAATGCTAATGATACCAATAAGATGTATGACACTTAAAAGTAATTAATGCTACATTTAATACTGCAGCATTTTTGAGCTTACCTCAACAAATATTAAGTCATCCACCAAAATCTGAAACATGTAATACTCAAGACTCACCAGAACCACCACATCCACTCCAGCCTGCATGAGGAGGTCCAGTCTGTATTTGTCGTCCTCCCTGGTACCAATGGCGGCTCCACACAGCAGTTGTTTGCGCGAGTCCTTGGAAGCCAGAGGATAATCTCTGTTTTTCTTCAGGTCAGTTCTTGCTATGATGGAAACAAGCTCGTCGTTGTCATTCACAATGGGGAGCTTTCCTGAAAAAAAAAAAAAAAACATAAAATAAAATTTTAAAATCAGTAAAACCAGGAGATGGCTTTCATAATCCTACTTATTTTCTTAGCAGCAGAACCTTTTGAAATCGTTACCTTTCTTGCTTCGCTGCAGTATGTCGTTAGCTTCTTTTAGCGTGACTCCAGCTGGTGCAACAACTAGGTCTTCCCTTTTTGTCATGGCCTGTATTGGAAAATATTTCAACTGTAAAGACAGATTGATGCGTATACATCTTTTCAAATGACAGCATAATGGCTGTAACATGATATGCTCACAAGAAACATTTGTTCCCATTTCAAACGACTCGAGACCCACCTCTTCCAGAAGTTTCTCATAGTCCTTCTCAGACAAAAAGTCAATGTCCCTGGAGGTCACGATGCCAACCAGCTTACTGCCCATCTTGCCTGTTTCTGTCACTGGGATCCCAGAGAAACCATGGCGCCTCTTAGCCTCAAACACGTCACCCACTGTGTGATGTGGGCTCATTACCACTGGGTCTGTGATGAAACCTTGCTCAAATTTCTAGCAAAAAAAAAAAAAAAAAAAAGTATTCACATCTGTGTTTATTCACAGTGTAGCTTTATTGCTATCCATGCAATAAAGCCACACATATTTTATTTTTATAATGAAAGTTTTTGTCTATTTTGACTTATTTTCTCATTTTACCTTGACTCTTCGCACCTCATTGGCCTGGAATTCAGCAGTGCAGTTGTGATGGATTATTCCAATCCCTCCCATCAGCTAACATCAAATAAGGACAAATAAATACCCCATTAGATAAAAATGGAACATTTATTTAGATAAGCATGCAGGTCAAGAGCATATTTTATTCAGAGCTGCTGTGACCAGTTCTTGCCCTAGAGACTCTGTGTCATGCATGTTTTAAGAGGTGGGTTTTCTCCTTAGCGTGTCCTCAAGATCTGCAGAAGGATATGACATGTTGATTTCAATAAAGTGTGCAGAACAAGGGTCCGAGGTTCAGAATTGAATACTTCCAAAAATTATGTACTGGTGCACGCATCAGGGTCTTTGACAAGAAAATGAAACTCATCCTAAGTGGATCGAACACGCAAAGTGATTGTTTTAAAGCATTTACATCTGATGATTATGGCTTACAGCGGATGCAAGCTTGAAATTTGTTTTCCTCATAAAATGTTAGTTTTATATAAGAAAATAGATGTGAAATGTCTGTTTGCCAAAAAGTACATCAACACTAGAGCTCTGGCCAGGTCTTTCTTTAGTTTGTATTACTGCATCAATGTTTTTTCTTTATGAGTGCCACAGACACTGATGAGGAAGTGCCTGAGGCTGAGGCACTTCCTCATGAGGAAGCAAGCATGACTTTAATTGCGGCATTCAGCTTATCTTGATTGGTTCGATGTCTCTCGTCTTCCTCTTAGCAAACTTCCATGTTCCTGTATAAGGTTCATATGGGCAAGTACAAACGATTTCTGAATGAAATTTGTGCCCATGGGTTTAAGGTCTGAAACTTTTCTAGCCAATCAAGCATAGCAATACCAGGGTAATTAAACCAGACACAGGCACAAATCATTAAAGAAAACTTGGGACCATTGAGACACTGTTCTGTCCTCCTACTATGCAATATATTAAAAGAGTTAATCAAAAATCCTTTCATATATGAATTTGCTGTCTTAAAAATAAATAATTTGGGGCTTTCATCTGATGCAAGCCATACAAGTAATTCAAACAAATGCTTGAAGTATATCTCTATGTGTGGCATGATTCCATATAACATGAGTTTTGCTTTAAATTTCTTTTTTAACTGATGTCCCAATGACTTGAGATGCACAGTGCATGTGTTTAGAGTCTGTACTCACTGCCATGGCGATAGCCATGGACGACTCTGTGACTGTATCCATGGGTGATGAAATGAGAGGAGTCTTCAGAGTGATCTTTCTTGTTAGTGCAGACGTCAGGTCCTTTAACATAAAATAAAAATTGTGAACCATAATTTCACTCGGTGACCGTTTTCAAAACTGCAATGGAATAAGCGTGAGAGCCCGTTTGGACACACTGAAGGGTTACTTGCTGGGTTTAGCTCTTAAGTGCTAAAAGACGCAGGTGTGTATGTGTGTTTTGAACACCTGCTAACAGGCAACCACCCATGTGACCAGGCATAAAATTAATTTAATGTCCCAGCAGACCTTGAAAACAGAGAAAGGGAAATAAATAACCCTCTGCTCATATGTTTGGGACCACAAACCTCAAAATTATCTGAACAGAACCAGGAATCTTATTGAAAAGATTCTAGTTTTGGTACATTTCTATTAGTTTCAGCCAAAATATTTTTCTTGCTATGTCAGTTCCTGAAACTGCTGTTGTGAAGGAGATTGCAGTATGACTGGTATCATACATGCAGTACTCACAAACAGGGCTTTACAAAGGTATCTATACCCTTTGAACTTTTTCATATTCTGTCATTCTACAAACAGCGTTCTGTTCTTTATCAACATTTTTTGAAAGACCAACAAATTAACCAACAATTGGGAAGTAGAAAGTAGAAATACATAGCTTTCTGTCTTTGTTTTGTTTTTTTAGAATGTCTGTTACTTGTTTCTAACTGGTTTGCTCATTAATGATCTCTAACGAACTGCATAGGCTAACTGTTTTCATACGAGGACATAATTAAAAAGAGATGGATTCTATTATTTAGGAATTATGTAGAGGACTGAATATATATCTGTGGCGCACTTAGCAGTTTTTTTTGTAAAATATGTTTATGACAATTATGTAACACTCTGTGTGAGTCTGTCATATAAAATACCCTCAAATACATTGGTGTTTATGATTATAATGTGAGCAAGTATATGAAGGAGCTTAATGGGTATCAATACGTTTGCAAAAGTTGTGTGACATACAGTAAAGGAGTGTTGTCTATAATAACCCATATATTTAAAATTACTCACCACCTCATCAGACGTGAAATCTATGAAACCAGGGAGGATAAGGAAATCACTGAAAATGGAAAAGAAAGTAGATAATAATAATAATAATAATAATAATAATAATAATAATAATAATAATAATAATAATAATAATAATAATAATATATTTAAAATGAGTAAGACTGTGCCCAATGTCCACCAAAACAAACACAGTAGTTCAATATTTGATCAAATTTAGCTTAGATTTATATTTTCCTTCTTTTACCATTAAGCACTGAAGTTGAAAAATTTAACATATGTTACCTTCAAATTGCTCCAGGTTATACATTTGTGTAAAATAATTTAACAAGTAACTGCTTGCACCACTTACTACACATGAAAAGCAGCTCATGCAACCATTCATCAGTCATGGATGTTTCATTAATATAATAATAATAAAAAAGTCATTTGTTCTTTTTTGCAAACTATCGTAATAAAATTAACAATGAAGTGAAGCTCTGTTTTAATAATATCTCTCTCTCTGCGTTTCCCTATTTTTCTGTCACACGCAGACACACCTCCACAAAGGAAGCTACCCCGATAGCTATTTCCACACTAAATTCCTACCAACACCATTATAGACACACACAGACAAGCATACTGCTTTTAAGCGATGATACCACTCAGAATCCCTTAAAGTACTATTACTCGTTTTAATCCTCCATTTAAAGCCTAAGCAGATGTGTCATCACTGCAAGTTTTAGCTACCATGAAACTCATTGCATAAGTCTGCGCTCGCTGCAGGTGGTAGTGCTGTAGAAAGCATTTTTACAGTAGTCTCAGTAGGGTAGCAGTGTGTGTGCCTCAGTAAAGTCTTACTTGTACGTCAGCCCGTCTCCAATAGAAAACAGCTGCTGTGCTGTGAGTCCATCCTCTGGTACATAACCTGTTCCTCCACTGATCAAGTAGTCCGCCATGCTGAAACACAAACACATCAACTGAACCTGCCACCTGCGACATCTTAACAAGCAACAACGCGTAAATCAAATATTTCTTTGAAAACGAATAATTCAGATTCATAAGTAATTTGACAGATTGTAAACGGTCTGACAGCAATAACAATTAAAACCTTTACTAAATCTTTATCATCAATTGGTGTTTATTTCTGTCTTGACCTCTGCGTAACTCTTGTTGTGCCTAGATCAGGAGTGCAGACAGGAACACATCCCCGTCAATGGAAACTCCTTCTACATACTCATGACGGCAGCACACAAGGTAAGAGGATTTGGTTGGCTGCCAAGGTTGCTGATAAATAGATTGGAAAGGGAAGTGGTTGTTGCCAACAGAAAGTGAGAATATTTCAATTACTTGTCCTTTCATGGTACTACGCCTTGAGATTAGCTACTGTTGACCGAAAGTAATGATGACTCAATGTGGACACTGACCTTTCTGGTTCATATCCAGCCTGGATCCGTGTAGCGTTGTACCTCTGGGCTGCAGTCTCATGTCCGTGTCCATATGACGGCGGGTAGGCATGAGTCAAAAAGGAGTGCTGAGACTGCTCCCCGTCTCTGTTTGAGACGCGAGGCCGTGCTGGCTCCATGTCTCCTACAATTCTTCTGTAATCGATCTGGTAATTGTCCCTGTCACTCTCTCCAAACCGGTCATATCCATGACCTTCCATCTCTAGGAAATCCAGCTCTGTGACCTCCACACACACACTTCTCCTCAGTTTTTCTTCATACAATTAGAATCACACTTTGCACTGCAGGTAAACATTGGCAGACCTCAAGAGACAATCCATGTGTTGTTCAGTTGATTGCATGCTCACACCAGGAAGCTTGTTCTTGTTGCCACTTAGTTTACCCTCTGAGCAGCAGTTTACCCAAATTACAAGATTTTCAGTTTTGCAGAGATATACTTGCGGCTTAAGTACGCAGTATCAGTAAAATACCCCTTGAAAAATGTTGTCAGTTATCAGGAGTGTTCATATTCCAGTTTGAAAACACTCCATCATGGAAGGAACCAAGGCCATCAAGCAGGAAAAGGAGTATTTTTTCCTTATGAAGGGATGGTAGTGTCAGAATCCTCAGCACACTCCCAGGTGGAGAAGTTGAGCCGTGTTTGTTTTCCCTCCAGCCTGGGTGCTTCTCTCCACTCCGCCACCCTGGTGGCTGCTCAGCTTAACTCTGTTTCTGACTGTAGCAGACGTCACTCTCCCACAAAGAGGATTGGGAGCATTAAAGCAGGATGGGGTGGAGTGAGATAGGTGTGTAGGGTGGAGTAAGGAAGCAGCACCAAGGAGGAAGGATGGGCCCAGATTACGCTTTAACACTTTCCCCCCTTGAAGGACGAGAGTTCTGCAAATGTGTGAATGTCAAGGCCTAGTTATTTCTCACCCCCAAAATGAAATAAAGAGAAAACTAGTGTCTGCATGTGCGTGCACGTTAAAATACTATCAGACATGCTGCCGTTAAAACTGAACATACCCATTATTTGAATCTTAACGGAGATGTTCCCAATATTAAAAAAAACAAACAATCTGTGAACAACTGAACAATCGTTGCCATAAAAAAATGAGATATAAGAGATTAATTTTGCCCTCATTCCTCTTTTCCTTTATTTTTTGGTGAGGTTTCAGTCATTTAAATTCCAGTAAATTAAAGTGCAACAGGTGAGTGATTAGTTTTTTTTTTTGTTGTTGTTTTATCCCTACCATCATCTACAGTTGATTGACTAACTGTGACAGTTATAGTTAGGGATTCAACCAGAAAAGCCTCTTACAACCCTCCTTCTCCATGGCTCCACAGCTCTTTTTCACACCCAGGTGGAAAAAATAACAAATAGCATTTGACCCTTTTTGCTTTATCTTAATCCTGATTCTAACATTTAAAAATTTTCATAGGGTAGGGTTTTTTCCTTTTGTCACATTTTGTCACAATAAATTTTTACCGAGTTTTTAATTATTATTATTAGTCGTTGTAATAGTAGTAGTAGTATTAGGATGTATTTCACCTCACAAATACCTAATTGTGAAGTGAAAGGAAAAGGAATTATATTTTTAAAATTTAAAATAGAACATGTGTCATATATGTTCAATCTTTTTGGATGCGACTTCACTGGTTTTGCAATTCAAGATAAGAAGGGTGGAAATATGTTGAAATGTCAATTTTAAACAACAAATCCTCTCCTGAATTTAGATCTGAACTTTTAATGGACCATTTTAATATATGAATATGTTTTGATCTGAACTATCCCTCCCAGACGTTTGGCTATATTTTGAAGGTTGCTATAAGCCTCTGAAGTGTTTTTTTTTCCCCGAGATCACCAGGTATTTTATTTCCTCCATCTTCCAATGAGGGTCTCAGCTGAAGAAAATCATACCCACAGCATGATCCTGCCACTACCATATGTCTCTGTCCAAATCCTGTTTCTTGTAGAGTGAAAAATAACTTTCCATGCCGGCCAAAAACTACGTTTTATGACTCATCTGACCAAAGCAACTTCAACCACATATTTGATGTTGTCTTTTTGCCTTTCTTCCTCAAAGGCCACACTTGTAGAAAGCATGATTACTGTGTGACCAGTAGACATGCATTGGCGTCTCGTTTTATAAATGTCTGGTTCTTCAGTTAAGATGGATGTTCATGTTTTAGTATTTTTATAATTATGCTGGTTACATTTTCCACTTTTCAGATGTTTGAATACAGCTTTTTATTGTCACCTGCCAACTTTAAGCTTCTTTACAATCTTATTGCTGACATGTATTTTGCCTGTGATACTCCTTGCCTTCTGTTTTCCAATAAACCTCAGAGAACTTCACAGAACAACTGTATTTATGCTGAAATAAATGACTCACAGGTGGACTCTGTTCGGTTACTAGCTTCTGAAAGGAAGTTGGATGCTCAAATATTTAATTAAATTCAGCTGAGAAAATATGGAGTTTTCTTTTTGGAAAAAAATAAAACATTTATCTTTAAAGAAACACGACATTCATTTTCTTTGCAAAAGATCTGAACCTTAAACGCTCACTTTATTGACAGTACATTTATTCATTTGTTAATTGCATGGCTGCACCAACAAATAAAAATAAAATCATTTTGATAAGTGAAGCTTAATTACAGTTTTAGCTGCAGGAATAGCATTATAAAATATTGGGGGAAAAAATACTGAAACTTTAATTTTTGCCTTTCAATAAAGATATTGAGAATTTATAAATCGTTTAAGCAATGAATCTCATTTTGCTTTAAAATGAGTGTAATTTTGGATACTTGATACCTGTTTTTTTCTTAAAGTGCCCCTGGATGGAGTCTTTGTAAATAATTTAATACATTTTGCTGCCTTAAATTATTGGAATAAAATGGAGCAGGGCTTCTGCAGATGTAGGTTTTTCCACTTTTGTTAGGGATAAGACTACATAAAAGAAACAATGCTTGTCAGAGATGCAAGCTGGAAACCCTAAGTGTCAAACAGTTGATGACATCTTGTATAAAAAAAATCTTAGATTTATTTGCAGACTTTATACAATGAAAATGAGACCAAGAAAAAATGAAGAAAACCACACACATCTGAAGCAGGAATGCCTCAACTGCCACCTGAGGAAAGAAAAGGGGAAAATAAAAACCTGAACAACATAAATAAAACCTTGCATGACTAATAGCAGAAAATCATACCATGACTGTTCAGAATATTTGGTTCACGCTCTTTCAAGGCATCATAGAACGCAACTTTCACCAGGTCTGATGCACGTAATGACTTGTAGAGCTCCCTCATTTTATCCTGGTTTGTTTTTCTTGCCTCAATTTCGGAGTAGGTTTCTTCATGGATCATCCTCATTTTCAAAAGATCCCTAGTAATTGCCATGACTTTGGTGTTTTTCTGTATTAAAGTATCCCTCATGTCATCAACAATCGTCACTGTGTGTAGTGTTTTGTTGCATGCAGGAAAAAAAACAAAACAAAACATGATCACCATCTCTTTATTTTTTCTGCTTTTTGACCCAGAAATTCACAAAAATGCTGCAGACCTTTTTCTTCTTCTGTTAAATCGTCAGTTCCAACTAAATTGGATGGTTGCTGAGAACAGAGAAAGCATGAATGTTGAGAGACTTACAAATCACTATGAGGACCATATATGTCCAATCATTTCACTATAGCTGAAAAAAAAAAGTGTTAATTAAACATAAGAATGAAATCTCTCTTTGGGTTTGATGACTTTCAGGCAAGGTGACCAAATACAATGATACTTGTAGAACAAAATTAGCAATTGATTTTGTTTTATGACAAAACAGCTTCAATTTGATATTCTTTTTTTTTGTTTTAATGTTTTCTCTTTCATTTCAAACTCACATTTAATAAATCTAGATAATACCTGTATTCTATCTGAGGGATGATCAACAACATCATTTTGCTCTTCATTTTCTGAAAGAGACAGAAAGAAATGCATATAATTTGTGGGTTGTAACACAGCCATGTAGAAGCATTGATCAATCCACCTGGAGTGGGCGAAGGAACCAAGTCTGCAGAATTTGCCTGAGAAAACTGGCTGCTACTTCCTGACTGCTGGAAAAGAGAAGTACAAATTATTTATCAGCTGCAAAAGAAGAACACACACTTGTAAACTTGCAGAACATATATTTTTTTAGAATAAATATTAAAACAAAATTACATTTTGTTCTAGTTTTGATAAAACTTTCTGAATGGCCGCACCAATTCCAGCCTTGTGAACTGAGAAAATCGGTTCAAGTTTTTGGACAATTCCTAAAAGAAAAACAAGTTTGCGTTTTCAGATGGTATGAGCTACCAAAAGAATCATGTAAATTATTAAACATTTACATAACTAATAGATTAACATAAAGATTTCAGTCCAATATGACAGAGTCAATGCACATTCTTGTTTCCATGACAAACCTACTGATACCATTAAAGTCAGGCCTGTCAGATGGATTTTGTTTCCAGCAATTTTCCATGAGCTCAATCACTTCTTTCTTCTTTTCTTCCTCTTCTTTCAGGCAAAGACTGACATCAGGTCTGTCTCCAGCTTCAATCCTATGTTTCACAAGACTGTCTGGCTTCCCTAAGTATTCAAAACAACAAAACTGCATTCACAGGGATAAATGTGGACATGTATAGACATGTATGTGGAAATGGGCTTAAACTATGTTTGCAATTTGAAGTTTGATGCAAAGCAAATAGGTTATTGTAAGTTTGCCTAAGAAGGTTTTTAATTATGGGAAAAGATTAAAAGATAATCACTGGTACCTTCATAGGGTACATCACCGCTCAGGATGGACCAAAGAAGGATGCCGTAGCTGAGTGAAAAAGGGCAGATGTTCTAGATTACAACTTAGTTTTTATCTAAACACATCTGGAGAACCAAGAATAGAACATATGTTTGTTTTATTGTTGAACATGTTTTAATGGTAAATATGTTTTTCTACTTAAGCCATAGACATAAAATGTGTGCCATACAGCAGCTGTCAGAGTTCACACATTTTAAATTGCTAGGGTTTTGTAATATACACAGAAAAAAACATCTAACTTTCTTAGCTTTGATAGGACAAAAATCCTGAACCATTCAACAACAAATATATTATGTTAGCAATTAAAAAAAATAGAATAAGATCAAAGGTTATTAGGAAAGTCCTACTGGGACACTTAAGCTTTAATTGAAGTTGATGTGAACTCAATGGGAACTCAATAAAAATGAAACTAAAACAGAATCAAAAGGAGTTTCAGCAAAATATTAGTTTATAGGTTAGCACAGGTGTACAATCAAATTACAATAGTTTTTTTTATGTCTGTCTGCTGCAAATACAACAGTTTTTTACATGCAACAAAGAGTATATGTTGCATTAAATTTAATTTTAATGGCAGGTGTACACTTACAAGTACACCTGAATGTTGGTATCGACCAAAGCAATTTAAACATGTAAAGACATCAAAGCAAATTTCCATAACTTATGTTGTTTTGAACAAAGTAGAACAGCAGCAGAAAACCACTGAACACATTAAAAATGCAAGTGGGAGAAAGCCAAGAACACAACTGAAATCTGTCAGCATAAAGTTGTTAGAATGATCTAATCAATCAGCTAATTTAAACGAAACTGACAATCTAACAACAGAAGGGGACAGCAAATTCATTAGATGAGTGTCCCAGATGTGAAGTCTGTTCGTGTGCAACACCTGGTCAGTAAATGTTTTTACTTTCCTCATACACATGCCTTGAACCCATGACAAAAAAAGATTTTTCTACTAAGTAGCAAATAAATATTAGGAAGTCAATTGTCCCCTTTACTCAACATAATCTATGGGTTAATTTGTTTTGATTTCTTTCTGTGAATCAACTGGGTTGCTACCAATTTAATTTAATGTCAACGGTCTCATTAGATAGATATCTACTGAGAAAAAAAAAGTGCTTCTGTGTCCAGTATTTCTTTCGCCATTTGTATGATTAATGTTGCTGTTGTTCAATGCTTTTCTTACCTGTAAACATCAAAAGAGCGAACTATTTTAGAGTTTAGAGCAAAACCTTCAGGTGGCATGTATTGTATTGTGCCTGGGGGATATCCTTCTGATTGTCCAGAACTGGACAAAACACTCATGGTTTCCCTGGAAAGACCAAAGTCAGCCAGCTGAGAAATGCAAAGGGAGAAAAACAACTAAGTTTAATTTCATATTTACTGTGAACAAAGAACCTTGAAAGCCTAGTATTTTACCTTGGCATTAAAGTTGTTATCCAGCAGAATGTTGCTTGGCTTTAGGTCGTGGTGAACAAAGTTCTTTGAATGGATGAATTGCACCCCTTTAGCCACTTGAAAGGCCAATCTCAGGGCCAGTGGCAGTGGTGGAGGGCCACTCAAGTCCTTCTGCAGGGTGTGAATACTTCCCCTTTCCATAAACTCCATGACCATTCCCTTTGGAAATTCTGGAAACTTATTTCCGTTGTAAATCCCAAAGACTGTCAGAACAAACTCAGAGGACATTTTTGCCAGACATTCAGCCTCCTTGTACAGTTCATTAATGTTTCTGAAAGGAGAAACCTAAATCATCTAACAGTATATATAAAATGTTTAATGTCTCAGTTATCTACAAAAATGTACAAAATACAATACATATGACATAGAATTGCGATCAAATGGATATACCCTGGATTCCGAAGTAGCTTTATGGCAACAAAGCCTCTGTCTTTGTGCTTGACCTTATAGACAGTACCAAACCCCCCACTGCCAATCTCTATCCACTCTATGCTCTCATCGAGGTCCACATCACGACATATACTGCTATGCAGTGCCATCTCCTGTTGCACAAGGGTAGCTAGAAATCTCAGAGTCTATAAAAAAGAGTGAAGAGGATGTTTAAAGATGCATAAAAAGTTTTTTAAAAACAACTTTGGAAGTAACTGCCTCTTTCTAAAGTGAAAGCACTGCAAATATGCTGACTGTGGAAAAATGGAAGGAAGCATTTTCTTAAAAACATTTTGTTTCTTTGAAACAAAATAATTTCTACTTACTGTTTTTCTGCTCTACTGTATCCACATGAGTGAACTGTGTGGAAATCTTAGAGAAAACAGACCGTACGCATTCTTGTTTCCTGTTTCATTTTTCATCTGTCGTCGAAGCTTGAGCTAAGGGGTGGGAACACTGAGAAAACGTAACTCCTTCCTCCTATGAGTCACTCTTCTGTAGGAAATGTGAGAAGATAATTCAACACTTGACATTAAAATTAGACACAAACAAGCTTTAAAACTTGTTTACTTATTTTAATTTGTGTGAGTAATTGAACCTGGACTATGAACTCCTTTGTCTGTACAATCATAGAGGGCATAAACACGGAGACAGCGCTCCCTCAGGCGACTGTAATTCTACCCAAACAGTGAGAGGAAGTTTATGGATTTCCTGAGTAGTTGGGGTGTTGAAAGGTTTTTGGGTTTTTTTTGTGTGTTTTTTATGGGAGGAAGTTTGTTCCGGAAGCCTTTGGCATAATGCAGCGACACATGTATGTCTGAAGACAAGTAACTTTACCACACCTTAAGTCTAAAGTGCAAGCTCAGTTTCCTCAAATCAAGCAAAGGTCTACTGCTACTAATATGAGAAAATGAAAATTCAAATCAGACAAACTCTGTTGGACCAAAAACTTGACAATGAAATCTCAGATTCCTTTGCATCAGAGGAATTCTGACACAAGATGGATAATATATATGTATATATATATATATATATATATATATATACATATATATATTCTGACAATGACAACAGGAACTGTTTGATAAATTATATAGCTCACCATCCAGGATGCTATTATATTAAGTAAAAAGACAAAAAAAAATCAATCTGAGCTCTCAATTACATAATTGCATATCCAGGCAAAAATTGGCTTTTGCCCCCTTTCCTTTTGGTAGAGTTAGCACTGTATGAAAATATAGT